CTGTGCGTAGTTCGTAGATGCCTTCGCTGCCTATATTGTGCAATTTGTAGATGTTTTTTCAAGTTAAAACATATTGCTGTGTACATGGATTGTTGTCAAATATTTTTAATTAGAAACTTTACGTTTTTGCTATCTAAATTTTTTGGTTTTGTTTCAGATTTTTAGCTTAAATTGTGTGTTCAAAACGTGGGTTTTGTATAGCAAAAAAATGCATTTTTGGAGACATTTTAGGCTTAAAGTTTGAAATGTAGACAAAAAATTTAGACAGTAATATGGCACTGTGGAGTTTCTAGCCAAAAAAATATTTGCCGAGAAATTTGGTGACCTGAGAGCACATATAAGAGTAGTTACATTAACTTTAAAATACAGTTTAAAATCCTTTATCATTGTTTAAATGATCCTTTATCCTTGAACTTTTGTTTTAGACACGAGTTCTCTGCATGTTTACAGGTTTAATTTAAAATCACAATTTGATCAGTTAGCAATTTTTTAAAATGTGTGGAACTTACCAATTTGGAGAAATGGAGATTTTTCAAAAATGGCCTATAATCTCCAATTTTAACTAAATTTCATATAAACCAAAACCAAATTCCATTAAGAAAATTCAATGAAACGTTAGATTCTAAAAATATTTTGATACGAAACTTAAAATGGAAGGCACTTTAATTTTTAAAATAACACAATTCAGTAATAATAAAAATCAATTATAACACACCAAATTAAAAATATGGTATTTATTATTAAAAATATTGTGCCATATGATGCTTACGGTCGGCTCTAGTGTAGAATTGGGTGCCCCTTTGATTAGCGACAATTTTTTTTAAAAAATTTGGCGATGAAACCTCACTTCTGGTTACTATGTGTACATGGACACATCGATCAGTACAGTTTATGGTTGATCTTTGGATTATGGTAACTTAGCGATTTTTTGGCGACCAACTCTGCTACAGCAACCCTCTATTTTTTTTTCGCCGCCATTTTGTCTTCACGAAGTAAAGACATGTTTCTTTTCTTTTCATTTACTCAACACTTTTTCCAACAATCTACTAGCTGAATTACACTTATGCTAGAAATTTTATCTAACAAAACTGCTTAATCATGACAAATATTAACTGCAAAATTGAGAAAAAGTGCACAATCCCAAACTCCTTGAGCGTTTTTCAGAATAGCACATACACATAAACCATTTACACGTCGACTTATTTTTACTTAAAAAAAATCCCAGAATTGCACAAAAATGACATTGCCCACACTCTTAACTTTATCCATCTACACTGCTATTTTCTCATAAATTACAAAAATTTGCACGAAAATGCAAAAAAAAATTTGTGAATCTTTAAACTCGGTAAAAAGCACATATATGAAATTACCTGATCGTGAAAAAGTATATACCCTTTCCAAGGATGAACATTTCCACGTATAAAATAAATAAAATATCCAAACTTTTACCTCTAAATTATCTATTATATTATAAACGTCACCAACGAATTCATATTCAAACATTCCAAATGGTTACAAATACTTAGTGTCAAATATTTAAATTATTTCCATGCAGGTTGTCTTCCACTGAAACGTATACCAAATTCTACAAACATATAATTCACAAAATAACTATCATTTAATTAAAATATAATTAAATTCAAAAACACTACTTAAAATATAAATAAGCACATACATTAAATTAATAAAAATTAGCTTACAATCCTAATTACTTTAATCTAAATCATTGCTAATAACAATTTTCCAATAATACCATATTACTTTATTTACTCCTTACATTTAGAACAATGCATAAAAATAATATCCTCAAATAATTAAAAATACTAACTTACCTAATCTTCTTTAGAATCTTGATTACGTGGCGGATAAACTTTAATAAACTCCAGGATCTTTAAAATCATACTTATAGTTCACAGCAAGGTACCAGGTAAAATAAATAATTTAATAAAACATCTTTACTTTTATCTCGCACAACCTTAAAAAAACACTTATTACTACCCCTTTCAATCCCACTAAATACCCATTTCGAATTCATTTTAGTTAGGGCCATGGGATCCAAAAATTAACCAACACTGTTTCACACAACACAGAATAAAGCTAAATACAAAATTTCCAGATTTTTTCCAGATTTCCCCCCTTTTCCGATTAAAGAACTGTAATTTGTCCATTAATGTCACATGACATATTTCATGATCTCTCATTTCCCTCACACAAAATAATGCGTAATCGGAACTGAGTACTTCTCACATTATTACCAAAGTCCTAGGTAGTAACCTTTATCGCCTCCAAAATGTCGCCAAACTACCAGTTACCATATTCCAAAGATCAGCCCAGTTTATTAGTTTGTACAATTCTTTGACTTCTTATTTTGGTTTTGTGTAGTGGCCACCTTGAAATTGTGCCTTCCTGGCACCAATCTTGGTGTCAAAAAAAAAAAAAAAAAAAAAAAAGGGGCACTTAATTGTAAACTTTTACCACATCAACATCTCCCCACAAACTACACCAAGTACCAAACTAAGTATATATTCTAAGCACAGTTCTAATTGAGACCTAAAATTATAGACATTGCTCCCTTTTCTACTAATATACCTTTGGTGATAAAATGAACCGTTTACTTTCACTAGATAAGTGATACACAAAGGTACAACTCTGATATACGCCCTAATTTCACCAACGTGGCGATATGTGTTCTGCGCTGGTTTTTGGCGTGATTGCGTGTTGTATGGCAACCCTGTTGACGTTGAAAAATCTTTCGCTGGAGTTCGTTGGTTCCCGTCATGCTTTGTGTCTGAGAAGCTAAGGGGGAAAGATTTAATGGTGAAAGTTGTTGAATTGAAGTTCAGCATAAGGAAATATTGTCGTGGCCATCCTGTTGAGGTGCAATGGGTATTTGCAGGTGTGGAAAGAAGGTATGGGAGATTATTTTTAGTGGCTGTGCGCGATAGAAGTAGGGATTTGTGATTATTTGTTATTTTATTTAGTTGTGAACTATAGTATGAATTTTCTGGATAGTGTGTCTGGCTGTCATATAAATACGATAGTGATTACGTGGCGGTATGTTAAAGGCGGTATGAAATTGGTATTTCTGTTGTTTGAAAAAGCATTAATGGTAAGTGCATTTTATTTTATTCTTGTTCTTATTTTGTAGAATGTTATGTTCAATGTTTTTTTTAGTATGAATTTCTGTCGTTATTGTTTTTTTTTTAATTGTTTGAAACTTATTTTAGTTATTTTGTTGATTAGTGCGTACCGTCTAAATTGTGCAATTCGTAGATACAGTCAAAAGTCGTTGATACGGACACCCATAATTCGGAATGATCTATAATCCAGACATCAAAACTAAAAACTTTCTGCGCATGCGCCGCGTTGACACATGCGCAGAGGCGTTCACGCGTGCGTGTAAGACCTTTTACGACTGCGCATATGAGCGTGCGCAAGTGCAGAATACGTTTTAGCGTGCGCATTTTAGGTATAATGGACGTATAAGCTAAAATTATCTAATTATCTATTTCAGTTAATGTTGATGATTGCGTTGTTCCTTAATTTTCGAATTGCATCCGGCTTATTATTTTTTGCAGACTGTAAGAGCAATTTTATAAAGGTAAGCTTAAACTTTCGATTATATCAAATAGAATTTCCGATATATATTTGTTAATATGTAAAGGATCTAAAGCGAAAGTATGTTTTGAAATCCGAAATCTGTTTATCAATTTCACGCTGCTCGGCGGCGGGCGCGTAATGAATTGGAAGTTGATTTGTCAGCACTATCCTTATCTTCAGCGCAGATGTTTTTATTTTATTTGGCTTATAATTCCTAACCAAATGTATTTCATCTCGATATGCTCCGTCTTTGATATGATTTAAAACAAGTTCCTCGTCATTATAATTCGCTTCGATAGCGAAGAAACGTGACAGAGGTTATTGAAACAAAAAATTTCGATTGACAAATTAGTCGGTGTTCTTGACACAGCAATTATAGGACTTTGAACGGCGGAACTTTGTAACTGAACAGAGAAATTATGTCGTTTTATAGAATTAAAGAGAAAGTATTATCACATGAAACGAAGCAAAACTTAAACAACTTACATTGAAAGAAATGTTTAATAAAGTAAACAAATAAATATTAAGCTTTTCTTTTTGCAAATTTTGATACCCTTTAGATCATAATTGTTCTTTATTTCATAAATTACGGTTTCATATTTTTAATTTTAGAATTTCTGCATGCCATCTTACGAGATTTAAACTGATGATCTATAATCCGGAATCGCCGAAGTCCCGACGAGTCCGGATTAACGACTTTTGACTGTATTTTTAAAGTTGAACAGAACGCTGTGTACATGGTATTCCTTGAAATTTATTGTTGTTATGTTAATTTATTAAAGCGAGGTGTGTGTAGTTCGTTGCCTAGATGCCCCATTCGTAGATGTAGTTCGTTGCCCATTCGTAGATGTTTTTTTTAAGTTAAAACATATCACTGTGTACATAGACTCTTGTCAAATAATTTTGGTTAGAAACTTCACGGTTTTGTTATCTAAATTTTTTGTTTTTGTTTCGGATAGCTTAAATTGTGTGTTCAAAACGTATCTTTTGCATTCACGAAAACCGTGTTTTTGGAGACATTTTAGGCTTAAAGTTCGAAATGTAGACAAAAAATTTAGATAGCAATATGGCAGCGTAGAGTTTCTCGCGAGAAATTTGGCGACCTGAGGGCGCATATCTGAGTAGTTCCTACACAAATATAGCACTCAGTTCTGACATAAATCAACAGAAATAAATTATTTACACAAATCTTTATAACTCACTTTTCCTATGAACTAAAATGTTACAAGAATATTGCTTACATAATTTTTTTTTTTCTTCAAATCAGAACAAAATATAAAGCAAGTAACAAGATGATTGCTAAGGTATACAAGAAACACAACTTCTACATAAAATACATTAAATCTGAAAAATATCTGCACTTTACCGAACAGGTAATAACTAAGGTCATAAATAGTTACCTTCATTGGATTTCAAAGCAGCAGATTCTCGAGAAAGATCTCTAACAATAGAAGCCAAGGCTTCAGGATTAGCACCATCTTCACACAGTCTTACGCAGATAGCCAATGTTTCATCATCTAATCCAGTTTTCATTAATTTCGCCATTTCTTGCAGAAGTCCAAACACTTCTTTGGCTTCCATCACGCCGCTTGAACTTCGATCTGTATCAGCCATTTTAGCATTTAAATAGCATTTAGCATTTAAATACGCGCATTTCCAAGAATGTCGTCAGTCATAAATTGGCGGCAAAACAGTTAAAGGCCCTATGCGTACTTTTTTTTTTTTTTTTTTTCTTGTCAAGGTTTCGTGTTAGAAAAATAATTTCGTATTCTCTAAATTAAATAAATAAATATTTATCCACTTAATTAATTATAACAAAGATTCTGCTTAAGTGTATCCAGAAATATAATCTCAGTCTCTTATTTACCTTAAATTTAATTTATCTGTTTCTCAATGATTCCATTCAACATATTGCCTAATTCCCCCGAGGAATATTTAGGTAGTAAGAATTTAACAAATTTATTTATTATTTATTCAAAGAAAAAATTATTCAAATAAATTTTTAACTAGATCCATTTTACGATTTTTTGGTAGAGGTTACTTTATTCTAAAACTAGAGAAAAAAGGTTGGCAACAAAATTAAGAGAGATTGAAAATTCTAGACCGGTGTTCGAAGTTTTTTGTGTTTATGTTTAGTATTTGCGTTTCGTGGAAATCGGTCTGTACAATTAAAAGTTACGAGTTATTTTTGATCGAAAAAACTGCTCATATTTTGCTTTCATTTAACATCAAAACCTAAATGGCTGGTGAAGTAATTGTTGATGCATTACCTTATATTGATCAAGGATATGATGATCCTGGAGTTAGAGATGCGGTATGTTGTTATTTATTGTTGCAGAAAAATCAGTAATAATTTATTATAATAATTTTAAATAATTTTATCAGAAAAAATAATAATAAATAAGAGAAGAAGAATATAAATCTCCAAATACGAACAACGACAGTGATAATTCAACAAAATGAACGCAAGACGAATGGTTGCAACCTTCAAACAAGCGAATACGATGATCCGATAGGTTACCAGGTTTGAACTATTATCACCAAAGTTGGCAGTGTTTACATTTACGGGGTTCTCTGCGGAAGTGCTTCCGAACACACAATTTAAGCTAAAAACACGAAACAAAAGCGAAAAATTTAGATAGCAAAAACGTAAAGTTTTTAACCAAAAATATTTGACAAGAATCCATGTACACGGCGATATGTTTTAACTTAAAAAAACATCTACGAATGGCACAATCTAGGCAACGAACAAATCTACGAACTACTCACACCTCGCTTTAATAAATTAACATAACAACAAAATAAATTTCAAAGAATACCATGTACACAGCGTTCTATTTCAACTTTAAAAAAACATCTACGAATTGCAGTAATCAACTAAATAAACTAATATAACTAAAATAAATTTCAAACAATTAAAAAAAACAATAACGACAGAAATTCGTACTAAAAAAACAATGAACATAACAATTCTACAAAATAAGAACAAGAATAAAATAAAATGCACTTACCATAAATTAATGTTTTTTTGAACAGCAGAAATACCAACTCCATACCGCCACGTAATCACTATCGTATTTATGTGACAGTTAGCCAGGCACACTATCCAGAAAACTTCATATTATGGTTCACAAATAAATAAAAATCACAAATCCCGACTTCTATCATGCACAGCCACTAAAAATAATCTCCCAGACCTCTTTCCACACCTCCAAATACCCACTGCTACCCCTCAACAGGATGGCCACGATGATATTTTCCTTTTGCCGAATTTCAATTCAGCAACTTCAACCATTTTATCTTTCCCCCCTATTTTCGCGAACCAACGAGCTCCAGCGAAAGATTTTTCAACGTCAACAGGGTTGCCATACAAACACAATCATGCAAAAAAACCAGCACATATCGCCCCATTTGGTGAAATTAGGGCGTATATCAGAGTTGTACCCTCGATATTTATAGATATTATCTGGGACTTTGGAATGTAAAAAATGTAGATTTACCTAGATATAATGTACAAAAACATACGAGGGTAAATAAAATGTAAGCGGTCTTGTGTTTAATAAAAATTTAATTAATAAGAAATATCGGAGAACACAAGCGCAGAATCACCCACTGCTTGGCGCATTTTTAAGAATTGCACATTTTAAGAATTGCACATACTCGATAACAATGTACACATTATCTATTTTAACTTAAAAAAAAACATCCTATAATTGCACAAAAATGTCATTTTGCACTCCCTTGACTTTATCCATGTACACATCAACTTATTTTCACTTAAAAAGTCAAAGAAATTTGACAAAAATCAAATTCCTCTTATTCTTGGAAAAAGCGCCAAACAAATAAGTGGGCGATTCTGCACTTTGCCCGAAACATCTACATTTCTGCAAATTATTTTTCTAAATAATCAGTTGCATTTAGAAGCACAATATTGCTGTGTATGGAAGTCTCTTAATTTTATAAATGAAATCTCGGTTGATCTTTGGATTATGGTAACTTGGCGATTTTTTGGCAACCAACTCTGCTACAGCAACCCTCTATTTTTTTATTTTTTTTTTTCCGCCACCATTTTGTCTTCACGAAGTAAAGACATGTTTCTTTTCTTTTTATTTACTCAATACTTTTTCCAACAATCTACTAGCCGAATTACACTTATGCAAGAAATTTTATCTAACAAAACTGCTTAATCATGACAAATATTCACTGCAAAATTGGTAAAAAGTGCACAATAGCAAACTCCTTGCACGTTTTTCAGAATAACACCTACACATAAACCATGTACACGCCGACTTATTTTTATTTAAAAAAACATCCCAGAATTGCACAGAAATGGCATTGCGCACACTCTTCACTATATCCATGTACACTGCTTTTTTCTCATAAATTAGAAAAATTTCACGAAAATGCATGAAAATTTTGTGAATCTTTAAACCCGGTAAAAAGAACATATATGAAATTCCCTGATCACGAAAAAGTATTTACCCTTTCCAAATATGAACATTTCCACATATAAAATAAATAAAATATCCAAAAACTTTTACCTCTAAATCATCTATTACATTATAAACGTCACCAACGAATTCATACCGCAAACTTTACAAATACTTAGTGTCAAATATTTAAATTATTTCCATGCACGTTTACTTCAACTTAAACGTATACCAACCAAATTCCTACAAACATAAAATTCACAAAATAACTGTCATTTAATTAAAATATAATTAAATTCAAAAACACTACTTAAAATATAAATGAGCACATACATTAAATTAATAAAAATTAGCTTACAATCCTAATTACTTTAAACTAAATCATTGCTAATAACAATTTTCCAATAATACCAAATTACTTTACTTCCACCTTACATTTAGAACAATGCATAAAAATAATATTCTCAAATAATTAAAAATACTAACTTACCTAATCTTCTTCAGAAACTTGCTTACATGGTGGATACACTTTTATTATCGATTCAATAAAATCACTGAATGATTTTTTTCTGCGTAATTTTTCCTCCATATTTTCTCTGCTAAATAAAAAGCAAAATTCTCTTTATTACAATGCCTTCGGAATGGCACTTTTTATAGCACTCCACTCCACGTGCCTCTATTGTATTGGTAAGTGCACCTGTTTCCGGATCTTTAAAAATAATTACACAGTGCCATACAATCCGAAAATTATTCAACACTACTTCACACAACTCACAATGAAGCTTAATACAAAATAATATACTGCCACAGATATTTTTCCAAATTTCCCCCCTTTTCCGATTAAAGAACTGTAATTCGTCCATTAATATCACATGACATATCTCATGATCTCTCATTTCCCTCACACAAAATAGTGCGTAATCGGAACTGAGTACTGCTCACATTATTACCAAAGTCCTGGTAGTAACCTTTATCGCCTCCAAAATGTCGCCAAACTACCAGTTACCATATTCCAAAGATCAGCCAGAATGTCTTTTCTGAAGTGGGATAGTTTTGAGTTGTGTTTTAATATTGAATAAATTTCATCATTGAAATTTATTATAAGAGCATTTTTATATATTGTGTTAAAAATTTCAAATTAATGGGAAAGAAATGAGAATACCACATTTAATCTTAACAGAATAAAAGATGCGTTTGCACATTGTGATGTAATCTAATCATCATATGACTACGGCTGTTTTGATAACATTAAACAATAAGAAAAATTATCCTTTAATTAGCCATTTGGAAATATAGTTGGAATTTAATGAATGTAATATAAAAATTACTAGAATTATATAAATAGGCATTTTCACAGCATTTTAATAGAAAAATTGTTGGCGCGGTTTTTACAATCATCAGCCATCTTGAAGAAGTCTACAAACACATGTTAGTGTCTTTAATGTTCATTTATAAACAATTTGTAACATTTCTGAAAATTATTTGATCAATACTGTTCTCTTAATCTAATACTTGGAGGCCATCCCTCACTGGAGGAGAATCTGCGTAAAATTGGTACTACTTTGGTAGACAGTTGCACGGATTTTTGGCGATTTTCGTTGGCGCGTTTTTTACAATCGTCAGCCATCTTGAAAAACGCTGTGTTTACGCATAGTAAAGTATTTGAAACTTTAAAAAAATTATGACTTTAAAAGTAATGAATTAATTTTTTGTTGAAAATGTTGTTTTTTAAGATGGCAGGCAAGTGTAAATAATACATTACTATGAATATAAATACTAAAGTAAGGTTATTATTACTTTCATATAGCAAAGAATAGAATAAAAACACCGCTATAAAAACATTGTGCCAACGTTTAATTCATTAAAATATTACTTAAATTGAATATCGAATTAAAAACATTATACCAACATTTAAAAAGAATTAAAATATTGCTAAATTCAAATACTTAAAAAATACGTTATATAGAATATAATTAACATTAAAACATATGTGACAATAATTATCTCAGCAATTTTTGAAAATATTGTAATTAATTTTTTTAACAAAAATTTAAGTATACAATTATAAAGTAAAAAAAAAAATATGTACTTACATTTTTTTGAGTCATTTAACCTGTCGTTTATTGATAAGCACCACAAAAAAATCGGAATCATGATTTAGATATCAATGAAAAAAATTTGAAAAATGTAATATTAAGGGCAGGAATAAAAAAAATTATAATTAGATAAAGCAATTTAGAGCCAAATTAATGGATCATAAAGATTTAA